GCCCGCCAGCCCCCGCGCCACCTCTGCAATCCGCCCACGCCACGCAGGCCCCCACCCTTGCTCCACGCACGCGCTCCCGCCCCCGCTTCGGCCCGCGCCCCGCCCGCGCCTCCGCCCGCGCCTCCGCCCGCGCCTCCGCCCGCGCCTCCGCCCCCGCCTCCGGCCCCCTTCCTTCGCCCCAGCCGCCGCCCCCGCGCGCCACCTCTGCCATCCGCCACGCCCACGCAGGCCCCCACCCCTGCTCCCACGGCACGCGCTCCGCCCCCGCTTCGTTTTTTTATTTAGGCCCCCGCGCCTCTCCCCGCGGCCCTCCGCCCCCGCCCTCCGCCCGCGCCTCCGGCCCCGGCCGCGCCTCCGCCCGCGCCTTCCGCCCCCGCAAATCCGACCCCCCTCTTCGCCCAGCCGCCGCCCCGCCGCCACCTCGATCTTGCATCCGCCCACGCCCACGCAGGCCCCCACCCCTGCTCCCACGCAGCGCTCCCGCCCCCGCTTCGGCCCGCCGCCTCCGCTCCGCGCCTCCGCCCGCGCCTTCCGCCCGCGCCTCGCCCGCGCCTCCGCCCGCGCCTCCGCCCCCGGCCTCCGCCCCTCCTTTCGCCCAGCCGCCGCCCCGCCGCACCTCTGCATCGCCCACGCCCACGCAGGCCCCCACCCCTGCTCCCCACGCACGCGCTCCCGCCCCCGCTTCGCGCCCGCGCCCTCGGCCGCGCCTCCGCCCGCGCCTCGCCCGCGCCTCCGCCCGCGCCTCCGCCCCCGGCCTTCCGCCCCTCCTTCGCCAGCCGCCGCCCCCGCCGCCACCTCTGCATCGCCCACGCCCACGCAGGCCCCACCCCTGCTCCACGCACGCGCTTTCCGCCCCGCTTCGGCCCGCGCCTCCGCCCGCTGCCTCCGCCCGCGCCTCCGCCCGCGCCTCCGCCCGGCGCCTCGGCCCGCGCTCCGCCCGCGCCTCCGCGCCCCCGGCCTCCGCCCCCTCCTTCGGGCCCCAGGCGGCCTCCCCCCGCCGCCAACCTCTGGCATCCGCCCACGCCCACGCAAGGGCCCCCACCCCTGCTCCACGCACGCCGCTCCCGCCCCGCCTTCGGCCCCGCCGCTTTCCGCCCGCGCCTTTCCCCGCCCGAAAATTTTTTTTCCCCCTCCCTTCTTCCCCTGTGTGTGGTGTGTGGGGGGGGGAGCGCATTAAGGCCGCCTCATCAATTCGGCAGCGTCTCGCATCCTCACGGAGGCATGCAAATGTGTGAGCCAGCGGCGGCGGCGGCGGCGGGGGGAAGTGCGGGGCTGATGGAAGCGCAGGGGCGATTTACTTCTAGGGCGGAGGGGCCAGTTTCAAGAGTAGACCAAAGCGAGAACATGCTGGAATATGAATAACATGCTCGGTTCAAAATGAAAAAGGGTTAGTTGAGAAATAAAATGAAAAGTATAAAACAGGGAAAGTTACACAGGTAAGGGAATAAAGCATGCAAATGTTTAAAAAAATGAACGACAGTAAAGATATTAACTGAAAATACCGGGATGTACTTTAGAATTTTTTTTAAATATTTGAAAATGACGGCAAGTAAAAGTAAACTAATAAAAGTGAAAAGACATTACAATAATTTCTCATGAAAGAGTTCAATCAGGGGAAGGCGCGCAAATTAATTGGTATGTGAATAGATATCAAGAAGGGTATTGGGTCGGTGGAAGTAACAAAAGAAGTAATAAGAAAAGTTTCTTTGGGAAATGAATCGACTCCGGTAGAGGATTGCCGTCTAGACAAGGGCTTGATTGAAACAGCGCGGTCTGCGCATCACCTCAGCGAGACTTTGTCTGAATAGAGTTTTGCAAAATAAAATACATTGAGCACAGATAAATTTGAAATGTGAGGAATGCATCTTCGAAAGAGCTTTCATAAAATATACACTTTTAGTAAAAGTAGTTTTATTTTATCACACGTTTATGTATTTTCGCAACGATATTTTATTGTCATTTTCAGTGAAAACCTATCTTAACAAAAAGGCAATAATTTTTAAAGGAATATTTTGGTATTTTCTTTGAGGTCGCAAGCAAGTATATTTAATACTTTGTATTGTGTAGATTAATAAGAAAATTACATCTGTGGCTTTTTTGTATTTCCATTGGATTTATAAATGAATCTCCATGTAGTTGGAAAACACTTCCAGATTTCAAGCGACACAGATTTTGGAGGCAATATTTACTCACAGTACTCGACAGGCAAAACAAGTTTTATGATAGCACTATTATTTCGGGATAGAGTTTCCGATTGTATTTTTACGTAAAAATATTTGTGTGAAGAAAAACGTTCAGGTAAAATAAAATTATTGAAAAAACTTGCTCTAGGAAAAAAGCCGCGTGTTTATGACAAGCGTTCCCGGTAACTGACAAGCGCTTTTGGATAAAAAAGACTTCCAAGTTGAGAAAAGCTTTTTTTGCAAAAACAAGAAAAACACGTATTTCTAACTAAATAAATTAATCATACTAACTCTCCATTTCTGTAAAAAGTTTCTTTCTACATCAACCTAATAATCTGGTGAACTCATTATAAAATCTCCTCTTCTAGTGTATTATTTGCTTTTAAAGAAATGTCTTGTAAATATTATAAGACACTTCTTTAACAAGTTATAATATTTCAAGTGGTATATCAAATCGTCGTTAAAGTACAAAAGTGTACAGGTTATCTAATTATTACACGAGCATATATAAAACCTCGAAAGGAAAGCAGTGTATTATGTACGTAAGCCGAAGTATAAAATTTTCAACTTCAAAATTCCTATTGAAATTAAAATACTTTATTAATATCAATTTAGTCGAGCAAAACCTAGCCTTTTGGAATTATTCCTTCAAATTGTAGATATTTCAGATTTAAAATATTTCCTATCAATTGACAGGAGACAGTCAAAAAACGCTTTCTGTATTTTACCACTTCATTTAAATTTGTAAATCACTAATCTAATATCAGAATATGAGTATAAACTTTTAATGTAATTGAGAGATATCGGAAGAAAAAATTAAAACATATGATGGTAATAATAACAGTAAAAGCAGACATTTATTATTATTATTATTATTATTATTATTATTATTATTATTATTATTATTATTATTATTATTGCTTTCGTTATCTCGGTTAACAAAACTAGTGTAAACTCCGAGAACTGGCTTTGCTATTTCTAATACCAAAGGAATTTCCCGTTTTCTTCTTATCTAGTGGGCACAAAATGACACAGACCAATCGGCATCATAGCATGAGACAGTTGGCATACTACGTGGGCAACGTGGGCCGTCACCGGTGGAAGTGCGTAGAGGTCGAGAAGCGCTCGCTGGGCGGCGCGGCTCCGCGGTGCGGCCGTCGATCGGCGGGCTGGCGGGCGCCATCGACCCGCGTCCTCCCCCTCCCCCGTCCCCCTCCCGCTGGCGCTGTCCACGCACTTCCGCCCCCGTCGGCCCCTTTGGGTTCCGCAACCCGCACCGCGCGGCGAGCGGGCACCTGCACGTGCGAGTGCAATCGTGGGCTCTGCTCTGGCGGCCGCCATTGAGGAAGACGGGCTCTCTGGGCGCACCGATGGGCATGCCACAAGCACCATCACCTTTTATAGGCGACTTCCGCTGCCAACCTATCAGGAACAAATAAATATATTATTCAAAATATAACATATACCCCGTATTCGTTACTTCTTGCTAACTATTCATAGCTAACCCAGCCTTAACTACCAGCATACAGGTACTTGAATAACGTGCATCTGAGAATAAATTATACATCCGATCTGTATATGACTCTCAATCATAGTATTATTTTAGACTACAGCTCAGTTATGGATTCTTCTTTTTAGCTGCTACCGCCTTGTTGATAGGCGTCGTGTTATAAAAAACTTTTGGCATATGAAGAGGATACAGTCCTCTCGTCGAGCCTTCCAGTCATCCGATTACAAAAAACCCTACACAATATGTTCAAGTTCTTTCGTACAGTAAGTTCATGATTAAGAAGGCGAATAAAATTATAATTTGTAAATAACACATTTCAATTATACTCATTAACTTATTTTGTTTTCCTCAAACGTTGTTCCTCGTACCTGAACTCATTAAGCCCACGTCTCAATCCGGCACTCTTCTCATGCAAATTCTTATTTGTAACATCTTGGAAATCAAATGAAACATCAGTTTTTGAACAAGGTTTTAACAAATCTTAACTTAAATAGTATCGAAACATTTCTGTATTTTTGCTTTCATTTTCATCAACCTAACATTGAATATAGAATAAAATGTTTAATGATAAAAACTGTTTCTTACCTAAATATCATTTTCTCAAATATAGAATTCAATACCCTACGTCATATTCAAAGAAATTTGTGCATACGAATTCGTAGTAGAAAACACATGAAAATACTAACTAATGGCACATTCTTAGTAATATACATATTTAGGTCTCGAAATGTCCTTTATTTGTCACATCAAAAGAGAGGAAAAGAAGCAATTTCCATTCAAAGAACTGTTTCAAAAGTTCATTTACATCTGAACTAATAATTGAGATACGATGTCAGTCATTATCGCTGCGAACTTTTGAGAAATTTTTTGAGGTCAAATCAATACTGCCGTTATTAAGGAAGATGAAATATTTTGGCGTTGTAATGGCCACAGATAGACGTAAATTTACGAAAAAAAATTACCTTCGTCAACGTTTCCATAATAAGGAATACATTATTATTCCTGACTGTTATATCTTCAGCAAGTGCCATTATTTGTTAGTCATGGAAGAACTCTTTTGAACTCGTTTAACATCTTTATAATTCTCAATATTAATTATTCTGAAGTTGCTAAAAGTACAGGAAACAAGAAATAAGTATTGCAGATATCTCTTGTTCATGATTAAACACGATTCATAAGTTGCTCAAGAAAAAATAAAATATATTTCTACACTTGGAAAATAGTATTTGAAAACTTCAATTATTCGTAGGTCGCACGGGAAGAGAGAAGGTTGTTTCATTATTCAGCGGCAACTTATTGTCAAAAGTTTGAACGTTTTTCAAAGCTGCCGAGTTCATGAAATCAAAGCACACTCAAGATCCTGGAAATTTGAAACAATTTTATATGTAGCCCCAAACACATTTTCTTAAATTCAGTAACAATATCTCTACATTTTTTACATAAACGTTATTTCTACAGATGAACATTCTCCAGAAATTTCCGTGCATTTAAATAGCTTAAGATTTATCTAGAACAGACAAAACAAGCGCATCACAAAAGCAGTTTAATGGAAAACACTAGTTCAAAGAACTGCCTAAATTCTACGTTCTTGCATTTCTAACTAGCGGTCAATCGTGTGTGCAGCTGCCGTGCGCCTCCCAGCTGCTCTACCTGAACCGCACTCGCCGCACGCTGCCCGAGGACCTGGAGATGGAAGAGGCAGCGGCGGCGGCGGCAGCGGCGGCGGCGGCGGCGGCGGCAGCGACGGCGGAGGCGGAGGCGGAGGGCGAGGCGGGGAGCGGGGCAGCGGGTCGACACGTGAAGAAACGCGCCGCCGTGGACCCGCGCAAGACCACGTGCATGCTATACCTGCAGGCCGACCACTTCTTCCACGACAAGTACGGCTCCGAGGAAGCCTGCATTGAGGTCATGACCCGTCACGTGCAGCGCGTCAACTCCATCTACAAGGCCACGGGTGAGTCACACTTTGCTTTGTGAAATGCAACATTCACGATAGTGTATGTCTCCACATTAATATCATTTTTTGTCTCACGTTCTAAAATAATGTGTTTAATCTAATGAGCTTGTTCTAAAGATATGTGTTAAGACGCGTCTTTCTTATTTTCCAACAAAACTTTAAAAATGGCAACGTCCGGAAAGAAACTGAACATGTTTAAAATGTTAAACGAAAAAAAGGAAAACTGAAAGAAAAAAAAGCAAACAAAGAAAAAATTAAAAAAGTTAAACCATGTTAGTTCACTTCTCTATCTCAGTCCCACTTTTCAGTGGCTTACTTTTAATTTACATTTCATACATTAATATTGATTTCGTATCGTTTATTTCATTTGTTCAATTTAAAATCTAGATCAAATCATTGCAAGACTGTGTAGGCAGCAACGGTATATATGGGGTTGCAATAACATGCCTGTGGTGTTCCAAAGCAGACAGAGAAATTTGCAGAATTTCTTAGAGTAAGCTAATAATAAAGGGAATTTGTTAGAGATGGCACTTGCCATAGGCGCTACTGGTCTCTAGCACAACGTGAACGGCGTCCGTTATTAAATATCCTTTCACCAGATA